GACATTTAAATAAAAGTTTGTTTATAAAAAGTTTCTTACTTTAAATTTATTTTTCACTATTTAGCTATCGCTGGATATAATCGAGGACTTCAAAAATCTCATATTCTTAAAAAGTCCTTTCATTTGATACCCATATTGTTGGAAAGTATAAAAAACTAGTCTCTCTGTCTGTAGTGTCATATTTTTGCATTAAGTTTAACTAGGTAAAATTTTATTATATTTTATTATAATTTTATTTGCGATTTAAAGTAAGTAGGTAGAATGACAGGCGGTTCTGGCTAGCATAAGTCCTTGCCAGGTGAGGGGAAAGATGGTATGGAAGTGCGAGTAAGCGGCTCAACGTGAACTCGGTGGTTTGATTGAGACAGTTTATCTAACTGGAAAATAGGTCCTATACCTGAAAAAAAGCCGTCGTAGGTAACAACGATTTATCTATGTAAAATCTTACGAAGAATTTCATTGTTTTATATTGTGAAGTATTGTAATGATTAAAATTTGTATTAAATATTAATATTATTTGTGCAGTTAATCTTGTGTACGTCAGTTGTGCCAACGATTTATTCATATTTAAGTAAATAGTAAGTAAAATCGAATCTGCACACGTTGTTTGTGTGATTTGCAACCAAGATATTGATGACAAAACTGTAAAATTTACAACAAGTGCTTTGGACAAAAGAAAATCAATATTAAGTATTAGAAAACAACAATTTAAAATTTAATGACATTTCTTTGCCAGAGGAAGTTCATAATAATACAGGTTATCATGTGAAGTGTTACAAAAACTTCTTCTTACTGTAATGAAAAAATATTGCCAGAACAAAACATCGACTTCATCCAATGTACCAGCATCATCAGCAGGTATATTTTTATGAACTTACATATTTTTTAAAGTATCGAGTTGCATTTTTTCGGTTCGGTCTCTTCGGTTACTTCACAGAAATATGCACACTACTAAATATATATTAATTAACGTTAATTAATTTCAAATTGTTAGTTTTAATAAAATTATTAATTTCAAGTTTTAAGTTATGTAAGTTTTCATACTATGACTCTTACTCGCACTGCTGCGGCAGTGCATCTTTCCCCTCACCTGGCAAGGACTTGTGCTAGCCACAACACCCTGGCATTCTACCTACTTACTTTAAATCGCTTAAACAAACACATATATATAAATTTCAACTTTACCGAATAAAGTTTTTTTTATGTATATATTACACACCTTCCGGTTCGCCTGGTGGGTACTTGTGCTCATCGTAAACGCCTGGCAATTTTTTTTTTAAACTTAAATATGAATAAACTAAATTGTATAGAAATTTCAAGCTCACAGCAACAAGTTTTTTTTAAATATTTTTTTGACACTCAAAAATATACGGCTTGATGACGTGCAGGGCTGAGGAGTGTCAGACGATGCTTACCGTACTAAGCATGCTATGACTCATCACCATAAGATTTCTAGCCTTACAGACAGACCGTTACTCGGAGGGTTCAGTAGCTCTTGGTCTATAAGTAGTGTGCTATAAGCTCTGCATAAGCTCATCAGCAGCACTATTCTGTAAAATGTTCATCCACATCGGATCCCCGCGTGAAAATTTTACCGAATAGCACTGCAGGATAACGGATCACTAGTCGTATTTAGCGCTGAAACGATGACCAAGAATTGCTGCCAATTTATTTCCTTTCCTGTACATACCTAGGTACCAGGACAACATATAACTTATCGAAGTTCGTCGTTAGTTTTTCAATCGACTAATTATTTATTTGATTACTAGCGGCCGCTCACGACTTCGTCAGCGTTAACTTTAGTTTTTTGAGAATCCATCAGGAACCTAACATTTTTCGGGATAAAAATGATGCTTTCTCTCAATTCAGGTTATAAACTGTTCAGCCGTTTTCGGATGTAATCAAGCCCCACAATATAATACTCCCCAGTAAAATTTAATACCCCTTTTCACCCTGTATTCTTTATTTCAGGTCTAATGTATAAATAATGGGCACACGGCTTAAGGCACACGGGCCACACGCGACAGCCACAAACGCTGCCACGAGAAGCTAGAAGCGGCTACAAAGGTAGCTGAAGCGCGCCACAGCCACTTGCGGTGGTCGATACTTGCCGTCGGTGGCTGCTACTTTTTTAACACATGCGTGCAGTATCATAATGGACTCTGACGAAGAAGGTTTTCAGGTGGGGAATCGCGCGAGTGGCGTGTGGCGCCGTTTTGTATCGGCGCATTAGTGGCCGGTGCGGGCCACAAGAAGCGAGCAACGACGATTTGTAGCGTGTGGTCGCCACCGGCGTTAACCAGTATGAAAACTACAGGAAATATAAAGAAAAGTTTTACTAGAAAAAAAAATGTGGGTTACCTACAATGCGAAGAGATGGCGCTGCCTTGCAGCTTAAGGCTAGGAAAATTTCGACGCGGCCATCAGGGCCGTGGTAGCATAATTGGTCAGTGCATTCGCCCGGATTGGGAAGGGTGCGGGTTCAAGTCCCGCCCGCTGTCTAGTCCGCGTGGATTTTTTCTAGTAAAACTTTTCTTTAGATTTAAACATCTAGCAGTTCAATGCTTAAAAATAAATAAAAACATAACTATAATTGCTATTTCTTCTTTCAAATGTTTAATGCTTGAAAAAGTATTCATTTGACATTGTGGGTTACCTACAATGCGAAGAGATGGCGCTGCCTTGCAGCTTAAGGCTAGGAAAATTTCGACGCGGCCATCAGGGCCGTGGTAGCATAATTGGTCAGTGCATTCGCCCGGATTGTGAAGGGTGCGGGTTCGACTCCCGCCCACTGCCTGGTACGCGTGGTTTTTTTTTTATAAAACTTCTCTTAAGATTTAAACATCTGGCAGTTAAATGCTTAAAAATTAATAAAAACATAACTATAATTGCTATTTCTTCTTTCAAATGTTTAATACTTGAAAAAGTATTCATTTGACATTGTGGGTTGCGAAGAGATGGCGCTGCCTTGCAGCTTAAGGCTTAAAAATAAATAAAAACATAACTATGGGAAATATGCCGGTGGCGGCGTTTTGTGGTTGTGGTCGGTGGCCCGAGTGCGGCTACCCTAAGAGTTAATCGAAATGCACGCTGAAAGGACATTGCTCGTTCCCCATACATTGAATGCCCTAGAACGCACAGCAATGAGAAATTGCTAGTTGTGTTCGGAATCATTCATAAACTCTAATTAGGCATTTGTTGAGATGCGGACAACTTGAGGAACCGTGGCCTACTACAGAATGTTAGATTTTAAGGTTATAATTAATTATACTTAATCGTAAATGATGTACACTTTATATATTCTGAATAGATTTAGTGTTTACCTCTATGTGAACACTTAAATAGTATGCATTAAATGAACATAAAATGCAATTAATAATAAAAATAATAAATGCTTATATTCATATTAATTTATGAGTGTTGGCAGTTGGCACCTATGATATCTATATCTTCCTGTTGTAATAACAGATTTCTTTTCAAATGAAATGTTCAAAGTCTTTCCATTTACCTGTTTCTATATTTTACTATCGGTAATAAGGTATGTAACTGGTTATCATTATGATTTTCATAAAAATAAACAGATATTATATGGGATGGGAGTATAAACATCTTTACATAGTTTCAGAAATTATCTTTTTATAAATATAATTCAAATACTAGTGATAAGTATTAATAACTAAGGTACCGAATTCTATTCTTATGTTGTTAAACACCTATATCACCTAGGTCGCCTATATTGCGTTTATTAAGGTAAACAATCTTGACACAACCTTTAACAAAATCACCCATTTAAAAATAAAATAATAACGAAGCCAATAATAAACTATTAAAATAAATCGTTATTATAGACTGAAACCTATTGAATCCAGTTATCAGTTGATTTTTAATGCTGTATTTTCATAAAATAGGAGTGCCAGGATTGTTTACCAAATAGGGCAAGTTAGGATGAACAGACTGTAGTATCTAGTAACAGAACTTTTATTTTTTATTTTTTTAAACAGATTGTCCGTTTACTATGGTTAATTGCTAATAAGTTAAAAAAATATTAGAAAAATAATAGTGAAGAACATTCTTTTGGGCATGCTAGGGCCGATTTCGTCGATGTCCTTTATCCATATAAAAAACTTCGGTACCCACTAATCCCTACTTTAGGGGTATTTTAATCAAATCAAAAATGGCAACGTTCATAATTTATTTACCGAGTTAAGTATTCGTACCAAGTTTTAAGTCTATGAAGTCAAAGAATAAGATTTTTTATACAAACTATCATCCCATTTTTTACGCTCTTAGAGGTAGATTTTTGAAAAACCATGATATCCGTCCAAAACGAACTTTGTTCCAATAATTAGGTACCATAAAATTGTTGGAGTTAAAAAAATCAGGTATGTATATAAAACAATTGTTGATTTGTACATTGCATATTGAATGAACAAAATTTTCTGATATCTCAGTTTTTTTTTCCATGAGTCTTGTATTATTTTGTCATCAATTTTAAATCTCAGTCAATACTTACGTGGTTTACTAAGTACAACTTATTTCAAGTTATTATAAGAATTTAACGTCTAGAAGCTACACTATCGGTTCGTAAATCTTCGGCGGCAGACCTTGTACTGAGAAGAACCGGTAAGAAACTCAGCAAACGCTGTTTATCTCCCTCTTTCATTGTTTACAGAGTCATCAAGTTGAAAAATGACTTCAGAGATGATTCATGAAGTCACCTTTCATTACATAATGATTAAATATAAATTAATTGTTTACCTGCATTTTGATTGCTGTGTCATACAGTATAAATACAATTAGTGTTGTTTATATTAAGTGTAACTAAACATTTATATTCTACAATATCTCATAGTTAATACTCAGCTGCAATGGGTTGTGGCATTAATATTATTCGATTTTTTCAGAATAAAAGACAAAGAAAGTAAGAACTAATATAGCATAATTTCGAAATGCATACATGAACGAAGTACACTATATTCTTAAAAAAAAGGGACAATAACTTGCCTGTTGTGTTTCATTGATCTTGTTATCCATTGGAACCATGTTATTGGACTTCTTTGACGCCGCCTTCGGACGATGCTTTTTGTATCCACGTTTCCTCTTCCGATATAGACTTCGGTCCTGGCTTGTTGAGGTATTCTCCGAGCTGGTACTATGGTGCCGACGGCGACGCTAACTTTTCCGAGAACGTCGTGAACGGCGGCCATTTTCCACACTATCACTTTCACTAACCATTTTGGTTTTAATCCCACTTCTGATATAAGGAATCAGGGTGGCAATAAAACAAAATAGCTCCAATTAACGTTATATTAATTTTATCACTAATAAAATTGTTATTGTTACACTTTTAAAGTCTGTTATAGTCAAGTCGCATAATAGATTCACATCATACCCTTACTGACAATTACAACCGGACAACCGGTAAATACAATTTTAATATTCAAAATAATTTATTAACATTTATAAATACAAAAGATTACTTTTATTAATACTGCTATCGTTTTAAACAAAAATAAAAACGTTATTCATTAAATTACATTTTATATAATGACCTATGAGTCAAGTTGTATTCTTTAACCTTTTGGTTTAATATTTAATGTCTAATAATAAAATAAAATAATTATGACAAAACAACAATTTGAATAAATTCAAATATATTTAACATTAACCAAATGAAATAATTAATATTCAATGATAATTCTTTTTAAAGAAAAGCATCCAAATCATGATGCATTTTTATCTGATATTCACAAAAAGATAAAAAAGACATTAGGCGTTCAAAAATATGTATCAAAATATATCACAACTAACTTTTTATGTTAAATAATGGAAATATTAACACTAATATGATACCTACATTAAAAATATATTCTCATTTATTAAATATACCAAAAGAAATCAGCTTAGCAGATCCTATACTTATTATGCCCCGTCAAAGATAGATTTGATATTAGGAGTAGATATCTTCAGGAATTTAATAATTGAAGGTAGAATTCGCTTAAGTAAGCCCTTATCACCAAAATACTAAGTTAGGATGGATAGTGGCTGGCCCCATTTCCTTTGAATATAGGCGCATTATTCCTGTTCAATGTAATTTTACTCAAACGTTAGAAATAGGGGAACAGTTAAGAAGATTTTAGGAGATAGAGGAAGGAAGCCACAATAATAATTTATATACCCACGAAGATAGAGCCTGTGAAAAAATATTTATAGACACAACTTATCGTTTGAAAGATGTTCGGTTTTCTGTGCGCATACGGCTAAAGGAGTTAACGACTGAACTCAGCGATAGTTACGAACTCACTAAAAATCGGTTTCTTTCACTTGAGCGAAAACTTGAACTTAGTATCATATAGTCATTCAAACAGATATATCATGAATTTATGAACGAATACATAAAACTAGGACACATGACTCGCGTTGCCCGCCGCCTAATTATATTCTACCTCACCATGGTGTGTTGATAGTGATGATAGTGTTACCACGAAGTTACGTGTAGTGTTCAATGCTAGTTAACCTTCGTCATTGGGAAAGTCACTTAACAATATTCAAATGACGGGTCCCCCTTTACGAAGTGATTTGTTTCCACACTTTTTACGTTTCCGCCAGTATCAATATGTCGCGTGCGCTGATATAGAAAAAATGTTCGGGCAGATATTAGTACAAGAAGATCAACGGAATTTACAGATAATAATTATTATGGGGAGAAAGTCCTCCCAAAACTCTTACGAACGTTACGTGTGGTACCGCGTCTGCTAAAAGGGTATTTTAGCATGCGATGCGTTAGACAGTTAGGGCATGAATGAACGAATAATTTTTATGTTGACGATTATCTTGCAGGTCATAATAAGGCGGAATTAGTGCGTATGTGCAAAGGTGTTATCGATGTGTGTAAGGCGGGCTGCTTTCCGTTACGAAAGTGGATATTTAATTCGGATGAAGTATGTCGTGTTGCGACAAAATAAATCTAGATTATATAGTATGTTACAAGTACTATCTTCAACTACTTTATTGCCTCGTCTTCACCTGGAGACCCAACGACGAGCTCGAGTTTGCATTGAGATGAATGGAGCGCAGTTCGAGGCCACACCTTTTAAAACCGTAAATGTCATGAGCAGGCATGATCATTTTTCATTTAAGTACCAAGGTTACTTTTTTTTTATTGAAATCATTAAATTAGATAGGTTTCTCTACGTCAAGAGCAGATTTTCATACTTATCTTTTAGTTACATTTAAAACAGGATTATTTTATTCGATCATGCATCAACTTAAGCTTGTGTGTGCGTGAGGGTGTACATAGATTACCTATTAGTGACCATGTGTAGCACGGATGATTGCCGTCCACCGGCAAATATTTGCATGCTTTACATTAACTAGTTCTACAAAAAATATTCGGACAGCATATATTTATCTTTAATGTGTTAAGTAGCGAGGCATTAAAGCAGGTATATTTATACTGACTGTAATTAGCAGTTCTAAGGAAATAGAGGATAAGAAAATACAATAATTTAGTCGTATAGTATCAAAGGCGGCAAAGTAGGGCGAACCAATTATTTGGCAAATCAAAAAAAACTGTTTAGTGTCGTCTTTAAGGGAGGATTTTTATAATTGACATTTCACTATGTTAGCATTTTTATAATATTAGCATTTTTTACAGATCGGTCAATAGTACAGTTATGGTTTTTATCTCAGTTTGTCTATGCTAAATCACGCCACATCACCTTACCTCCCCACCATCTTATCACATGACGTGAAGGGGGGACGGACAAGCGAGTGGAGCGCTCAAAAATACGGTATTCAGTCGATAGCCTTCGTCGTGAATAGTGGTCCAAAATTTAACGTGGTGTTGCTGCTAAATATTCTTGTTATAATAATTTTAGTTTATATTACAAGTGAAGTACAAGTTGAATAAATCAAGTGGAAAATTAACATTGTGTTTTAACTTCTGGAACTAACCTAATAGTTTCAGAAGCGGGATCGACTGAGAATATCCTGATATTCTCACTACGCCCAGAAAAAAAAACGCAAGTTATTTTTTTTTCTCATTCATAAGTGCTAATTTCATAACTCTTGTTTTATTTGCCCTAATATATTTAAAGTTTCAAGAACGTTAATTTTTTTTTTTATTATTATTTTTTTACATGATCATACACGTCCTAATAATGCTTCTGCATGTATCCTGCCAGGGCGACTCTCTGGGGTGTGTGTAGTTGATTTAAAATTACACACCTTACTGGGGCTACTCTCTGGGAGTGTGTAAATGAAGTTATAATCTTATTGTTTCTCTTGAATACTTTTGCATTAAATAATAATAATCTCCAGAGGCTATTGTCTGCGGTACGTGTAATTGTTGTCCAAATGCACACCATACTGGGACTACTCTCAAAGGGTGTGTAAATGTGATTATATATTATATATATATATACAGGGTGAAATTGAATGTTTCTATGAAACTTCGTGAGATTGTTGGGTTACGTGTATAGAGTATGCATGATTTTTTTCGGATTTTTTAAAATAATTTTTTTTGTTTTTAATTTTTTATTTGGTTATTTTTTTGTCATTTCTTCCTTATGAGTAATTATTCATTTTAAACACGTCTACATAGAAGTTTTAAGCAACTTAAAATAAACACTACTAAAAAAACGGAAACTTAATGAATGCCTTCATTATGCCTCCAGTCGAGATCAGCGCCGGTCGGGGCGACGACCGCGGCCGCCTGTGTAGGTACCTACTACACGCACAGATGACTCGACACTTACCTACTCTCCGCTTTGATCCACACTATTTAAAAACATTACAATAAAATAGTCTTAGATGCTATATTATAATTATTTATTCACTGATACACAATACCTTTGAATATTGTTTCATAAAGCACAGGTAATTAATCAATAAAATAAATCTTCTGTTAGAGCAATTAAAAATCCTATGAAGTTAATATGACTGTCACGATTTTAAATCGGTAAAGCCTGTCTGTTAGTGTAAGAACTTCTTTTTTATTGTTAATGTTAGTTGCCTCGTTTAATAAAAACTTAAGCACAAACGGCTTATTAAATTGGGAAAAATCATACAGAGCAAATCGGTATAACTTACGAGCTTAGTGAAGGAAGGAACTCTTCGTGTCTGATTTGCCCACGTCATGAAATTCCCAACACATTTAATCACAGCCACAGTCACACACACACACGTAATAATATGTTGTTTTGCGGCAAGCACCGGCGGGCGGCGCGCCCCCTCGCTGGCAACTAGCGCCGGTTGCGGCGTCTTTGATGATGTGAATTCCGCCCATCTCCCCTCTACCCTGCACGCGGTGGTTTGCTTTGATTGCATGCAAAACGCAGTCGCAAGTATATCAATCGCGCGTGGGCGTGCGCATTTTTTGACTTAGCGACATACACTGTGATAATTTCATTATGCCTCGGTATACGAACCAAGAATACCTAGAGATGGTGTACTGCTATCGCGAGTGTGACGAAGTAGGTTTGGTTTACGAATGAGTCCCCAAACCATAGAAGTTGCATTTTGTGCAGTGAGTAGTGATAGGGACACTTTAAAAAAGGTGAAAAGACACGTCCGCAAACATGCCTACCTTTGTTTGCAGCAAAATGGTGGTTTAGAGCAACAATTTTGCAGATAATAATTTAAGTCTCTTTTTATTGCTAGTGTAAATACTTTTTGATTAGAAACAACTAATTGTGTACTACCAGTGTGATTGATTTGATAAAAAGTTCTAGTGAAAAAAATGAATATGTTCCTCGTTCCTCGTTGTACCTACCTACATCGCCGGTCTCGTAAGTACTTTTGAATACCGTGTTATAAATTTCATTCTGACCCAAGTATTGAACTGCAATAAGTATTTCTTTTTGTTTAACATTTGCCTATTTCCAATCGTGACAAAATTATTATTAACTTTTAAAGTTTTTCTCTGTTTAAGAGAAGATGACATTTGTGCTTATTATTTCAATTTCAATAAAGGCATCTAAGACGATTTTATTGTATTGTGTGGAATCAAACGAGTCAGCTGAGCTCTGTGTAGAGGTACCTACTCACTCAACGGCTGGCGGGCGCGGTCGGTCGTTGACCCGCGGTGGAATTTAATGTTTTTTCGTTTTTTAGAAGTGCTTATTTATTAGTTGTTTTTCACTGGATATGTAAGTTTGTTTGTTTATAACGAATAACTACTCAAAAGGAGGAAAGGACATAAAAATACACAAATTATAAATAAATACATGAAAAAAATATACTTCAAAAAAA